CAGGGAAATGACCCCAGATGGGTCTGCAGACCCAGTGGGCCCACAGTGGTCGGACCCTGGCCAGGATACCATTTATTACCTGGTTCCTGTATGCTCTACTCTCGCATGAGGATTATGATGAGGCTTCAGGTCCCAGATCTCTATTTCAACTCTGGCCCTGGCCCCCTGTGATCATTAGGGTTGTGTGTCAACTTGGCTGGGCCATGATTCTCAGTGGTTTGGCAGTTATGATGTAGTTTGGCAGTGGTATAATAATGTAATCACTTCCATGATGAGATCTGATATAATGTGATCATCTCCATGATGGGATCTGCTGTGAGTAGCCAATCTGTTAAAAGGGTGTTTCCTTGGGGGTGTGGCCTGGATCCAATATAGGTGAACTTTATGGCAAGGCTGGTGGGCATTTGCTCGCACTGGATCCTGCAGCTGGCTCCTGTTCATCTGACCTCCGGTTCTTAGGACTTGAGCTAGCAGCTTACCAAATTCTTAGGTATCTAGCGCTAGTATAACAGAAATACCACAAGTGGATGCCTTCAACAAACAGAAATTTATTCTCTCACAGTTTAGTAGGCCAGAAGTCCAAAATCAGTGTGCCAGCTCCTGGGGAAGGCCTTCTCTCTCTGTCAGCTCTGGGGGAAGGTCCTTGTCATCAATCTTCCCCGGTTGAGGAGCTTCTCAGCTCAGGGACGCACTTTTCTCCTGGCTCTTGTTTCTTGGTGGTATGAGGTCCCCGTGTCTCTCTGCTCACTTCTCTCTTTTATATCTCAGAAGAGATTGTCTTGCCTGCCAATGCTGGGATTTGTTGGTTTTCACAGCCTGTGAGCCAGAGCCCTGCTGTCTGACTTGCCGATCTGGGGTTCGCCAGCCCCTGCAGCTATGTGTATCAGGAGAAGCCCCCAGGCTAATCCACGAACTTGGGATGTTCCAGCCTCTACAAATACATGACATTTCCTTAATATAAATCTCTCTTTATATATGTTTATATGCTTTACTGTTTTGCTTCTCTAGATAACAGCCTAAGGCACCCCACGTCCAACAGTCCGACAGTCCTTGGAATGTTTGGGTATGCCTCTTGCCTACTGTACTGTTAGCTAAGTGGTCATTGGTCCCTTTGTGGAGGGGCTGGGGCAAACATTACTGTGTACACTTGTAGCATGTTTATTCAAGAGTGTACTTGGGATCAACCCTGGCGTGGTGGTGAGGGAAGAAAGATTGGGCAGAGGGAGAAATGAAGTGGTAATGCAGAACCACAGGCTCCTGGGCACTCTGGAGCTAATGTGGCCTGGCAGCATTGTCCTGCACTGGACTGAGGGGCCTGGCCTTTATGCTCCTGCCTCCATCCGTCATTGGTTGTGGGCTGCCCTGGGAAGGGAGAGGCCTTGGGTAAGGCCGCTCCGCTCTCTCTGCAGCTGGTACAGACTCTGAAGGAGGCGATAGCTAACAGCACTTCCAGCAGCTGGGATAAGTCCTTTCTTGAAGGGATCTAGGCAGCCCATCCAGAGCTCACTGCAGTCTTTAGAGACACCACCATGGCTGAAGGAGTGAGGTTCCTGAGGGTAAGGAGACGGTGACCACAGGTGGGTGGATTAACCTTTGACAAGAGGAAGGACGTAAGAATGAGGACAGATGCAGATAATTGTTTGAGTAGAAGGACAAGGAGATGGGGAAGTCTGATAAACTTTATAATTTCTTTGTAAAATCAGAAACAGCACCATCTGCTGAACTTGGGCTTGGACTTGGTTAGCACTTGGGAAAGAACAGTCACCAAGGGGAATGAGAGAGGATGCTATCCAGGGACTTCAGAGCAGTGTTTAAGGGGCACTGAGGTTGGGAGCATGGCTGGTTGGGCCCCTGCCGCTGGGGCATGTGGTTTCCCTAGCAGAGCTCAGAGCAAGCTGCTGGAGCAGAGAGGAGCAAGTCTCTGCTGGGAGATGCAGGTGGGGTGGGGGCAGAGAAGCCACAGGGTGCTAACTAGTTGCCTTAGTTTTCCTGAACAGGTCTTTAAGATTCTTTAGAGATAAACTCTCAATTTTAAAACCTGTGTTTGTTTTCTAGGGGGGTAAAGTGTTAGAGGCCTTGAAAGAGGAGTTTAGGTGCAGGTGGGACCATCTGTTCCATTGCTGTTGTTGTCAGGTGCTGTCTAGTTGGTTCCGACTCATAGCGACCCAATGTACACAAAACGAAACACTGCCCGGTCCTGTGCTGTCCTCACAATCGTTGCTATGCTTGAGTCCATCACTGCAGCCACTGTGTCAATCCATCTCGTTCAGAGTCTTCCTCTTTTTCGCTGACCCTCTACTTTACCAAGCATGATGTCCTTCTTCAGGGACTGATCCTTCCTTATAACACGTCCAAAGTACGTGAGACAAACTCTCACAATCCCTGCCTCTAAGGAGCATTTAGGCTGTACTTCTTCCAAGACAGATTTGTTCGTTCTTTTGGCAGTCCATGGTATATTCAATATTTTTTGCCAACACCATAATTCAAAGACGTCAGTTCTGCTTTGATCTTCCTTATTCATTGTCCATTCATTGCATGTACAAGAGGCGACTGAAAACACCATGGCTTGGGTCAGGTGCACCTTAGTCCTTGAAGTGACATCTCTGCTTTTTAACACTTTAAATAGGTCTTTTGCAGCAGATTTTCCCAATGCAATACATCGTTTGATTTCTTGACTGCTGCTTCCATGGGCATTGATTGTGGATCCAAGTAAAATAAGATCTGTTCCATTATAACCTTTAATCTCCCTATTTTCTGTCCCACTTCTCATCGCTGCCCTCCATTGCTGCTCTGGGTTCCAAGCCTGGGGCCCCTCTGGGCTCTGCCAGGTGGGCTGGCTGCCTCCCTTATATCTGTCCTCTGGCATATTCCTCTGTAGCTGCCTCTGCCACCTGTTTCATTAGAAGAGATTATATCCACTTTCTATCTTCCAGAAATGTGCCGGGATCCCATGTCCACTGTTGTCCTCTGCCCGTTCTCTTCTTGTTCAGGATTTTGTTTTAATTCATTTCTATCATATTAATAGATTTAAACCAGAGGGAGAGGAGAGAATATACCAGCACGTTCTCAGTATACCATCCTGAATCAGAATCTCTTTAGATAAAGCAAGCAGTGAGTGGCATATAATAAGCCCTCAGCACATGTAGTATGAGCAGATGAACACAGATCTTATTCCTATTTATATCTCCCAGTCTTAGCAGTGCCAGGTTCTGAGGGGGAATAAATGTTGACCTGAATGACTAACGACATTGAGCATCTTTTCATGTGCTTGTTATCTGTACATCTTCTTTGGTGAGGTGGTGTTAAAATCTTTTGCCCATTTTTAAATAGAATGTTTGTGTTCTCATTATTGAGTTTTGGGAGCTCTTTGTATATTCTGGATACAAATCCTTTATCACATATATGTTTTGCAAAGATTTTCTCCCAGACTGTGGTTTGTCTTTTCATTCTCTTAACAGTGCCTTTTGAAGAGTAGACGTTTTTAATTTTGATGAAGTCCAGTTTATGAGTTTGTTCTTTTATGGATCACACTTCTGGTGTTGCATCTAAAAAAATCTTCACATAATCCAATGTCACGAAGATTTTCTCCCTTTTCCTTCTAGAAGTTTTACAGTTTTAGGTTTTATATTTAGGTCTGTGGTCCATTTTAATTTTGGTGTATGGTGCAAGGTATGAATTAAAGTTCATTAGTCATTCATGAAATGCAAAGCACAAGATAATACTAGACACCTATTAGAATGGCAAAAATTACAAAGGCTGACCATACTAAGTAGTTGGTATGGTCGTCACTGTTTGGTAAGAATGTGAGGAACTGGAACTTGCAAGCACTGCTGGTAGGAATATAAAATGGTACAATCATGATGGAAAACAGTTTGGCGGTTTCTTAAAAAGTTAAACATGCACCTACCAACCATATGATCCAGCCATTTTACTTGTAGGTATTTACCTATGAAAAGGAAAGCATATGTCCATACAAAGGCTTACTTGTACACGTATGTTCATAGCAGCTTTACTGTAATATCCAAAAAACTGGAAACCTAAGTAAACATGGACAAGTGAAGGGATAAACCATATGTAGTCAAACTACTCAGCAACATAAGGAATGAACTATTGATACACACACCAACATGGATGAACCTCAACATAATTATGCTGAGTGAAAGAAACCAGAGAAAAAATATTACATCCTATTGGATTTCATTTATATAAAACGCTAGAAAATACATCCTAATCTGTAGTGACAGAATGGAGATGGTGGAATGAGGTAGAACGGGAGATTACCAAGGCATTTGAAGAAACCTTTGGGGGTGATAGGCATGTTCACTATCTTGACTGAAGCAATGGTCTCACAGGTTATACAAGTGTCAAAATTTCAATTATACACTTTAAATATGTGCAGTTACGGTATGTCAATTACACCTTAATAAAACTGTTAAAAATATTCACCTGGGAATTAACTATATTGTTTTACCATTGATAATTAGCAAATAAAACAAAACTATAAAAATACTTATCCTCTTAAATTTCAATTTAAAAAGCAGAACTGATAGTTCTGACTTAAACCTCAACAGTGAGTCTTAACACAATCTGACAAAATGGGCCCTGTATGCTTTACCATGCATACTCTCTTAACCAACTTAATATAGAAAGTGATTGTCTCTTAAGGGCGACGCTTCATGACCCGCGAAGAGGTTATGGCTGGCTTCAGCACATTTGTTGCTCATAAACAGCAATAAGGACAGCTGGAGGTGGAGGGAACAAGGAAGAGCAGGTTCTGTTGGAAACCCTGGACCTCGATGAGAAGCTTTCCCGGCAGAGGCACGGCTCGTCCAACAACATGCCAGCGTGCCAGAAGAGCCCGGCCAGAAACCTGCCCGAGGCGAGGCAAAACCGTGAGACCCCGGGCCCGACCGGAAGAAGCTGGCCATAGCATCCGGTCCAGGAAACCCTGCTGGGAGCCGCCCCGCCCCGCCCCGCCCGGAAACCCGGAAGTAAAAGAGCTCTTGGCCTCGCAGCGCTCGCGGCCTTGTGGCTAGACTCGTGGCGGCGGCGCTTGCGGGCATGGAGGGGCCGCTGGCCGTCACAGGCGGAGACGTCTCCTTGCACAACTTCAGCGCGAGGCTGTGGGAGCAACTCGTCCACTTTCACGTCATGCGGCTGACGGACTCGCTTTTCCTGTGGGTAGGGGCCACGCCGCACTTGCGCAATCTCGCCGTGGCCATGTGCAACCGCTACGTGAGTGCGAGCGGAGTGGGGCGGGGCCGCAGGGACCAGGAGCTGTTGCTCGCAGGGCGTGGGGGGGCGTGGAGCCGAGGCGGCCACGTGCAACCGCTACGTGGGTGCGAACGGAGCGGGGCGGGGCCGGGGAGACGCGGGGCCGCTGGGGCGTTTGGGTGGGGGAGGGCGGTGCAGACGGAGTAAGGTCTTCAGGGTCCTGATGTCTGGGTGCGGGGGTGTTACCGAATTTCTCCTACTCCCTCTCCTAGGTCCGCGGGGCCCTCGGGGCAGAAGGGCTTTCAGGGGCTCTTCCCGTGCTGATTTAGGGAACCCCAGAGCAACCTCCCTCTCTCCCCGTAGTCCATGGAGGCCGGCCCCCCTCTCCCATGAGACAGTGGAGACCCTTTAGCTTTCTCGTAGTCCCGGGTTCCCTCTCCTTTCTCATATGTGTAGGTTGTTTGGAATGTCCCAGAGCTTCATCCTGCGACGTTTATTCTCTGCTGGGCGCGTTCACTCCTTGGGGATGCTGTCGCTTAGCTCTCATACCGCCTGTATTTTGACTTAAATCTCCACTGCAGATCTATTTCCGGAACTTCGGACTTCTGTGTTTTCCCTGGAATGTCTAATAGGTATCTCACACCTTACATATTCAAGACCAGACTCTTGATCTTTCCTCTGAAAATCAGCCCCTCCCACAGCCATCCCCATCTCTGGGTGCTCAGGGTAAAAACCTTGCAGTCATCCTCCGTCCCTCTTTCTCTTACACTCTACGTACCAAACGACGGTGAATTCATAAACACTGCTGTCAGTCAGAGATCCTGGGTGGTGCAAAGTGTGTTGGACTACTAACCTAAGGGTTGGCAGTTTTAACCCACCCAGCGGCACTGTGGAAGAAAGACCTGGCGATCTACTTCCATAAAGCCAAGAAAACCCTATGGAGCAGTTCTGCTCTGTAACACATGAAGTTGCCATGAGTTGGAATTGACTCCACAGCAATGGGCTTGGTTGTCAGTCAAAACATATCTGGAATCCAACCATCCATCACCTCTTTCACTTTTTCTACCCTGAGCCAAACCTCCTTCATCACGGCTCCTTTCCCTGCTTCCACCTTTGCTGCCTCATAGCCAGTTCTCCACAGGACAGCAGATGGTAGTTTTAAGACTGAAGTCAGATATTGTTACTGCTCTCCTCAGAACCTTTCAAAAACAAACTCAGAGTGCAATCCAGAGACTTTACCTCAAGGCCCTGCATGACCTGGCTCCCTGTTGCCTCTTGGCTCTCGTCTTCCTCCACACACTCTGGCCTCCTTGCTCTTTTGCCATACCCGGCATGCACCGCTTGCTGTCCCCTCTGCGGTGTATTGTCTGTCTCCCCTACTGGAATACATGTGCTGTGGTTGACTGTGAGGTTTGCCTTTTTTATTTTTGTATTGCTGAAGTCTGACACATGGAAGCTGCTCATGAAATACTTGTTGAATGAATGAATGAGGCTCCCCACGTCCTTGTTGCTCATGCTTTATGGGGGAAGACTACCCTAGAGCCAGTCAGGCAGAAGGATTGTAATTTCTGAGGGGTCACCAGGGGCAGTGGGAAATGAGAGGAGTGAGCCTTTCATTCTGCAGGACAGGACCCCTGGAGAAGACCCGGGAGAGGCTTCTGGAAGGAGATAGCGTCTGAATTGGGATACTGTATCCCTGTTTTGCCTGTTTCTTCTTCTCTCGTGTCCTACCCCCTTCTCCCCCCGTTTCTGATGGGTACTGGCAGGTGGCTCTTTGGGCATGTGGCAGTTCCAGGTCTTCTTTTCATTCAAGGAATTGAGGAGGGTCTAGAAGGGCTGAGCAGTGATGGGCAGGGTTGTGGATTTGGAGGTGTGGTATCCATCTCACGTTTTTTATTTTCTAGACCTAGGGCTTTAATAATAAAAAGTAGGTGAGGCCAGAGGCCACATGGGGGCCCAGGGCTGCAGGATGGTAAGACCAGATATCACTTACTCGAACCCAGTTTCAGATCCTTGGTGTCCTTTGTGCAGTGCTAGTTTGGGGGCAATACATAATGGCTCCTCCTGCTTTGGTGGGCTGATCACTTGGTAGTCATAGCCCCCAGTAGGATGTATTTTCCCAACTGGAAGTTTAAAGTCCTCCAGGGTCAGGCAGGAAGAGGGGCAGGCCTCAGTTAATAGATCTGCCAGAGTCCATTTCCACTGACTGGTGACATTGTGTGCCTGGACATTGGTGTGCACGTATCTGTTTGTGTTCATGCTTTCAAATCTTCTGAGTGTATACCTAGGAGTGGAATTACTGGGCTGTGTGGTAATTCTATGTTTCACTTTTTGAGGAACTGCCAAACTGTTTTCAACAGTGGCTGCACTATTTTATATTTCCATCAGCAATGCACGAGGGTTCCAATTTCTCCACATCCCCATCAACACTTGTTATCTGATAATAGCCATCCTAGCGGGTACGAAGTGGTATCTGGTGGGTTTGATTTGCATTTCCCTAATGACTAATGATGCGGAGCGTCTTTTCAGGTGCTTGTTGGCCATTTGTTTATCTTTTGTAAAATGTCTATTCAAGTCTTTTGCCTATTTTTTGGTTGGGTTGTTTGTCTTTTTGTTGTTGAGTTGTAGTTTTTTTTTTTAATTGTAAACTTCCCTTTATTTATTTTATTATTGTTGTTGAGAATATACACAGCAGAATATACACCAGTTCAACAATTTCTGCATGTACAATTCAGTGACTTTGATTCCATTCTTTGAGTTGTGCAGCCATTCTCACCCTCTTTTTTTGAATTGTTCCTGCCTCATTAACATAAGCTTGCTGCATCCTAAGTTTCCCATCTCATCTTTTGAGTTGCTGTTTTCAGTTTGATCCCATATAGATAATTCTTAAAAGAGCACAATGCTCAAGGCAGACATTCTTTACTAATTAAGCTAAACTATTGTTTGGTTTTAAGAAGACTTTAGGGGATAGTTTTGGTTTAAGGTTTAAAGATTATCTCAGGGCAGTAGTTTTGGGGGTTTGTCAGCCTCCATGACTGGAAAGTATGGATTCCAGGAAAATTTGAAATTCTGTTCTGTATTTTCTCCCTTTTGATCAAGATTCTTCTATAGAATGAGTTGTAGTTTTTTAAAATATATTCTGGATATTAAGCCCTTATTAGATATATGATTTCTATAATTTCCTTTCGTTTTTTAGTTGTCTTTTCACTTTCTTAATAGTGTCCTTTGATGCACAAAAGTTTTTCATTTTGATGAAGTCCAATTTATCCGTTTTTTTCTTTTGTTGTTTGTGATTTTGGTATTGTAGCTAAGAATCTATTCCCAAATACAAAGTCCTGAAGACTTATCCCTATTTTCTTCTAAGAGTTTTGTGGTATTAGCTCTTAAATTTAGGTCGTTGATCCATTTTGAATTAATTTTTGTATATGTTGTGAGATATGAGTCCCACTTCATTCTTTTGCATGTGGAAATCCAGTTTTCCCAAGACTACTTGTTGAAGAGTCTGTTCTTTTCTCTTAGAAGACAATGGATTTGACGCCCTTGCTGAAATTAGTTGACCATAGATGTATGGGTTTATTTCTGGACTCTCAGTTCTATTCTGTTGGTCTAGATGTCTGCCCTTATACCAGTACCAGACTCTTTTGATTACTATAGCTTTGTAGTAATGTCTCTAGGTGGCACAACAGTTTGCACTTGGCTGCTTACCGAAGGGTTGGCAGTTTGAACCCACCCAGCAGTACTGTGGGAGAAAAGGCCTGGTGATCTGCTTCTGTTAAGATTATAGCCAAGAAAACCCTATGGAGCAGTTTTACTCTATCATATGAGGTCATCATGAGTTGGAATCAACTCAGTGTCAACTAACAACAAAAACAGCTTTGTAGTTAAGTTTTGAAATTGGTAAGCATATGTCTTCCTACTTTATTCTTCCTTTTCAAGATTGCATTGGCTATCTGGGGCGCTTGCATTTCCATATGCATTTAAGGATTGGCTTTTTCATTTTTGCAAAGAAAGCTGTTGGGATTTTGATAGGGATTTGTTGAATCTGTAGATTGCTTTGGGTAGAATTCACATCTTAACAATATTACCATACTTTTATGCAAATAATGCACGTGTTATATGATTCTGGCAAATCACACAAACCCCTCTGTGCGTTATTTTTGTAAGCGTGCTATACCAATATTTTTTACATGTTGCTGACTTCAATTTCAAGTTTTTTTTTTCTGTCCAATGGATTTAATGTTACTGGGATGAAACTATTTCATGAAAACTTCATTTAAGGTAGGTATTTTCCTAAACCAAGTACAACCAATGGTGAACAAAACCAGCTCGTGATGGAAATGGGATGCCATGTTGAAGTCAAAGAGTATGAATGCATGAAGAGCTAGAAATTAGTAAGTAAGAGAAATTATCCTAGGCCTAAACTACAAGAACAAGATGTTGTTTATATATTATTGCTTTTATAAATCTTAAACTGAAACATAATTTTTTTTTAAGTTTAATCTTAGTGTCTTGTTTTTTAAATTGTACTTTAGATGAAGGTTTACAGGACAAATAGCTTCTCATGAAACAGTACACATATTGTTTTATGACAATGGTTAACAACCCCATGACATGTCAACACTGTCCCTTCTCAACCTTGGGTTCCCTATTACCACCTTTCCTGTCCCCTTCTGCCTTCTAGTTCTTGTCCCTGGACTGTTGTGCCCAATTAGTCTCGTTTTGTTTTATGGGGCTGTCTAATC